CATCTGACCCCGCGCGCAGACAGGGGCGGGCGGCGGGCAGAGGCGAAGGGGGGCGCGGGCGGTGGATCGCTGCAACGGACCGCCCCCGCTCGCCCGCATCAGTCACCGCCCCGTTCGCCGCGGCCCACTGCCCATCCGCCTCGGAGGCCACGGGCGAATGAAAGCGAGGGGTGGGAGTAAGGGGAGCGCCGTTGCAAGCTACAGCGCCAAGGCAATCCTACGCGCGGGGCCAATAGGCCTCCTCCGACGCAACGGCGGCGAAGACGAAGTCCTTCACCGTCATCTCGCCCTCTCTGGGGTTCATGATCTCTGCGGCGGTCTCGGCGATTTTCCTGGACTTGATGGCGGGCGCGAAATCCCACTCGAGATCCGACGACGTCGCGACGGACGCGACAGCTTCACTGAGCTCCCCGGACGGCCCCCGCACGAGCGTTCACAATGCCTTCCCAATACACTGCGCCACGCCATCAGCCACATGCGCGCCCTCGCCAGACCCCAAAGACTTCACCAACGCATGCGTGAATGCGGCGATGCGCCCGCAAAGCTCAGCGCCGGCAGGGCCAGTCCCGAATTCGCTGCAGACCGCCACCTGGCCGACGATCGACTAAATGCCCTCAGTGCGGATAGAGCGCTCCGCCTCGAAGTCGAAAGCGCTCAAGCATGTCATCACGGCGCCGGTTTGAGTCGATGCTGCGCTGCTGGGTTACCTTGGACACGCGGCTGAGGAGCACGTCCGTTCCAGGGATCTGGAAGTCAAGTTTACTCGCAATCTCGACCAGTTCCCTGGGGTCGGAGCACTGCTCGGTCAGAGAAGCCCTCGCTTCGATAGTGCTAGGCACGCCTTGCATCATGCTCGTGGTAACGCTCCCAATCGTAGCTCTCAACTTCGCGTTCCGGCCACCGCGCGGCCTGCCCTTCGACTCGAGGAGGAGCTCCCATGACTGCAAGCTCGCACTGGGCAATATTGCCCGTGGCACCCTCGAGGCGGGGCAACTAAGACTCGCAATCCTTGCGGCATCGCACAAACACGCCAAGGAACACCTTGTGGTAAATGACCTGTTTCATGGATGTGAAGACGTCGGAAACGTTTTTGCCGAAGGCCACCTCCGAGGCGAGACGGTCGAAGCCCTTGAGGGCGGCGCTGCTCTGATTTATCGTAGTTGCGCTCCAACACGATGTAGGCACCCCTGAAAATTGGCATGAGGTCGTCGGCGCTGTCTTCGACCGGCTCGAAGTCGATTTCTTCGTCGTCAGAAGCCGTCTTCACCATTTCCATGACCATAGGGACGACCCGAGCCAAAGCACCGTGGCCAACCTCGCCATCCCCGATCAACGGCCCGATGACCTTCGAGAAGAGGGCACCCCTCACCCTCTCATTCTTCTCGGCAGGGCTGCCCTCTATGTGCTAAGCCACAGGAACCTCGGGATCGAAACCGTCGCTGCTGTGGTCATGCACAGACAAAGGCGCAATCATGGTCAAGAAGGTATGGATATTCGCCCCAACGCCATGCTGCAGCAATGTCCAATTCCGCAAAACCCGACCGAAACACGCCAATTTCGCATTAGTAGGTAGGTCTATGATATTCACCTTCAGTTTCGCGCAGAAGCCGGTGAGCTCGTCCGCTGACGCAGAGAGCCACGCATGGTCGTTGCTGAACTGCTCGCATAACTTGCGCAAGTCGTGGTGCCCCTGCATCTCAACCGCTCCCGATCGGCTTATGGTGGAGGCCTCCGCGATGCAGCCCTTCAATGCGTTACGCCGCGCCGCGCCGTCGCAGGCAGGGTTGACCCTCGACTCTGCCCCCGATGTTGGCACGGCCATGCCGTCGCCCTGTTCCGCCATGCTGACGGGCGCGGGGGGGCCCTGCATCGTCGCGCATGCGAGCCCGATCCTTGGGCGCAAGGAGTCGCCCTCGGCAGTTGGCTCATCATTCCCATCCCCCGGTATGCAATCGAACGCGTTGACGATCCTCACAATGTCGTCCTCACTCAACCTCAGACCCCCTGCGCAACTTCTCCCCCGTGTTATTATTATGATTATTCGCGATCCGCGCCGCCAGCGCGCCGAGGTCGACGGCGGCGGGCTCGCGCGGATTGATCTCGGCCAGGAAGGTGCCCGTCTCCTTCCGGCATGCGAGGTTGGCCTGGGCGGCGCAGATCGTTGCGCCAGGACGGCGCAGCGAAGTGGCCGTCCCTTGCCGCTTCGAAATCTGAACAAGGAACGCCCGCGGGGCCTCTAGGTCAGTCGTGGGAACGCCCGCGGTCGAAGTGCCGAACTCGCCCCACAAGTTGAAGCACCTGCAGCACCCGATCTGCTCGGGAAGGAAGCAGGCTTTCGCAAAGATCTCGGGGCGCGCCCAGAACCCCAGACGGCGCTGGCACGAGGCCGACTGCCCAGCACCGCGGTCCACGCAAGTAACAGGGAACCGGCCCAGCCCGAGTCCCATCGCCCCCGCATGCCCCGACGCCACGTCGAATGAAATCATGAACCCCGCGTCCGAACATATGACGATCCGTGGGCTGTACAAAGGCTGCAGGTCGTCTCGGTAGTTCTCTGAACTGCGGTCGTCGGCTTGATCTGTGTGCTGGTACGGGTCCAGGCTATGCCGAAGCTGGCCCGAAGCGCTGCGGCCGTGACGTGGTATAGCATAAGTGTGGCTGGTAGCAAGTTTGGGGTGCCGCTTGCTATTGTCGGGCACCCAGGTCCTCACCTCTCAGTGCGAGGATGGCGCGCATACCGCGGTCCTCGCGTCGGCCGCAGCGGCCGAGGCTCACGAGCTGGAATGTAGCGCGAGCGCCCGCCCGGCCGGCGAGGAGGCTGGTCGGCGTCGTGTCGCACTGCCCTAGAAGCGCGCGTGCCTCGATGCTATGGCAAGATTCGACTGCCCCGGGCTCTCAGTGAGCTTGTCCCAGCTGCTCTGAGGGCCCCACTGTGCCCGCGGGCAGGGCGAGCAGCGGCAGTTGGCAACGCTGTCTCCAGGTGGCACTCGGCTGGCCCCAATAGTGTTAGTAGCGTTGGTGGGTGCGGCTGGCAGAGTATCGCACATGCCATGACAGGTCGTGTCAGGTCGGCCCAGAGCCCCAGTGGCTGTGCTGAAGAGATCGCCAACGCGGGTGGCCTCGGCAACAGTTATGGTGAGACTTCTGGTGTAATTGGTTGGTTCGGGCAGTTGATGTATACATCGGAGGTTTGGGGGGTGAGATCGCAGTGAAACGGAGACCCCCCACCGGGAAATCGGTTTCGGTTTCGTGTTCGTGTCGCGCGTGCGGGCGAGGCGAACCTGCGCGTGATCCTCCTGTAGCTAGGCCGACGTAGGAGCGAAAGTACGTTCCCGTCCGCCGGTGGCTGGGAGGTGTCCCAGTTAAGCCGGGCGGTGTCCCGGGTGTCCCGGGTGTCAATAGGAGCGAAAGTCCGTTTCCCGTCCGCCGGTGGCCGGGAGGTGTCCCAGTTGGGCCGGGCGGTGTCCCGGGTGTCCCGGGTGTCCCGGGCGTCCCGGCGCTAATGCATGTCGCTAATTTCATAATTCATTCTTCGGCGCCTGCGGCGGGCTTTCTTATCCAATCCAGCTGATCCAATCCATCTTGTCAGATCCAATCAATTTTATCGTATCCAACCCATATTGTCCCATCTTGTCTTATCCCACCCAATCCAATCCATCCAACTCAATCCATCAATCCATTTGTTTCTGCGCCTGCGGCGGGCCAATCCTATACATCTTATCTTATCCAATCCATCTCTTCCAATCCAACCCATCTTTTATCTTATCCAATCCATCTTATCCCATCCAATCCAATCCACCCAACCCAATCCATCAATTCATGTCTGTCGGCGCCTGCGGCGGGTTTTCTTATCCAGTCCATCCGATAGGTCGGTCGACGGATAGGTAGGTAGCGGTATATCATCGTCATCGCGATCATCACTGTGGTGGAGCGAGACTCTGATAGAGAGGGAGAGAGAGAGAGAGGGCGAGACAGAGAGAGAGACTCAGAGAGAGAGAGAGACAGAGAGAAAGAGAGAGATGAGATCAAGGTGACAGGCTGGAGGTCAGTCAGGGTGGGCATTTGATCTCAATCCCCCCCAACCTCCTTATCGCCCGCAGGGCGGTCGTATAGGTATGAATAGATCAGCAAGTCGGTTGGCAACTCGACGGCTGTGTCCAGCACAACGGCGCTGAACCTATCCGGCGTAGTCAACGGCAAAAGTACGATACCGGCCTTCTGGTGTCAGAGGCTGAGTGTGTTCGACTGCCTGCGTAGTCACTGCGGGCGCCCTGAGGTGATGCCAGATGGTCGAGAACGTGCGTGAGCGAACCAAAACCATGAAGACACGAGGGGCTGACTTGGCTGTAGACGAATCGTCGGGATAAGGCGCGGCGCTGAGACAGTAGGCGCACAGAGTCAGTCAAGACTTCGCTGCAATTTGAGACTGTGTGATTTGAGGATGGCGGCGGGATGCAGCACGTGGCTGTATCCTGAAGGCATGCGTGCCAGCATCGACGATGGTGTGTCGCTTCTAGTATCGTAAGGGCGTCCGTACGGATCGCTTGACGTGAACGATCCATACCGCGGGCTGGCGTGGGTTATTGTTCCTAGAGGGCTGGATTACCGTCGGTGTTAGGCGATCTTGGAGATGTGGACTGCGTTGCTGCATCAAAGTGGTACCGTCTACGATTGGCTGTAGTCATGCTGACGCGACAACTCGCGTGTCGGCGGCAACTGCCGCGAATTATGATGGCGGCGGCCGATGAAATACCCGAACAAATTGTCGAGCATATGGCTTCGAAGCCGAACATATCAGTGGGCTCCGTGGGGACGTGCGCTAACGTGCTCGTAAGGTGCGCCGACTGGCGCATACTTGGGCTCGCCTACGGCTGTTCTGTAAAGCTTGGCCAATGGGAAAGGAGGGAAGGGAGAAGAGGGAGGAGAACGAGGAAGAGAAAGAGGAAGCGGAGAAGGCTGAGGAGAATGATAACGAGGCGCATGATGAGGATGGGCGGTGCCTTGATGAGGTGCACAAGGCTCGCGAAGTCCGTCTCCGCGCGCAGCCAAGGCTGCAAGCACCTCTGTGGGAGAAGCCAGAACCAGTGCTTCAGAAGTGAGCGCTGGTGTTCCAGAACTGGCGCTCCTCGCACTGATAGTTCTATGCCCGCTCCCAGGACGAGCGTCGTCGGAGCGGGTTCGAGACAACACCCCAGGGCGGCACGGGACTCTTCCGAGGGGATACATGGCGCAATGAGCGAGGCAACATGCGAAGGGTTGAGAGGACCTGCGCACGTCAGAGTAAAGTTGACCGAACGGTCTCACTTCGTCCCTGCGCGCATTTCTGGAGTGAAAGTCCGCAATGCCCACAATTGATCATGCTTTAATTGAACTCTAGTGTCTACCATGTCTCCTAGAAGCTTATCACTCAGTGTTGGTAATATCCTCTGTCCAGCGCCCATCCGATTTGCTCGATGGAACTGCGCCCCTCGACGCTCCCACCCCCCACGGCCTGGGCCCCGCATCATCGTCCAGCTCCTCCCGCTTCTCCATCCCTCCTCGCTCCTTCCCGCTAAACCCATCCCTCTTGCATCCCATTCCACACCCTCATCCTTGTCCGACCCGTCCCCCTTCTCCACATTCCTTCTCTCTCAGCCTGCGCGCGCAGTACATGTTGACCCATGTGCTACCACCACCTCGCATTAGCTAGGCCCACCTTGGCTTCCTGTCAAGATCTGGCACATCTGGCTCGCAAGCCGCACCTGGCACACGTGGCGCACCGAGCGTGCGCGGCGCACCTGGCGACCATGTTGCTTATCCATGGCTGTCCATCGAATAAGGGCGAAGCTGAATCTCGGGTCCATCTCGAATGAAGGCGCGCGAGGGTGAGCGAGACAGCTTGTAGCGTTCTGTAAGGAGCGAGGTCCTATCCTACACTACCATACCCACTCTACTCCTTTCCCCAACCCGACCTCGCCCGGCACAAATTATCCGCTCCACTCCCCTCCTCCCCTGCCGCCGTTCCCTCCCCTACCTGACCCTCACACGCCCCACCCCACCTCCACCTCTCCCAACCTCACCTTCGCCCGCTTCCCCACCTCCCCCCTCCTCCATCCTACCCCACCCGAACCCTACCCTTACCTCCCCTACGCTGCTTCCCCCCCGCCCCTCCCCCCCGTACCCTGCCCTACCCTGCCCAACCCTGCCCTCCTCCCCGACTTTCCCCTACCATCTCGTTTGCCCCTGGCTGGTCCCGGTGAGAAGGGAAGACACACGGGTGCATGCCTCAGCCGCGCCAGCGCTAGCCGGTAGATCGCGACGTAACCCTCCTCCAAGAAATGGGGGGAGAAGCCCGAAGAGAAGCAGCAGCCGCACTGGGAGCGGGAAAATAGCAGGAACCCTCCCCGACGGTAGCAATATTGTTGCTTCAGAAATCCGCCGCCCCCTCTTGATTTATCAAAGGGGTGCCTGGCGTGCCGAACGATATCGCTTTTGGTTTTGGTTCTTTTTCCAAAAAAACTCCCCCTGGGGCTTCGTCACGTCCCGCCGGGGTCCCGGGATGGATCTCAAAACGCATCAGTCGTGCCTCTGCTTCCTCCAGTTGGCTCAAGATGGCACCCAAGACGGCCAAGATGACCCAGGATGGCCTCCAAGATGCCTCCAAGACAGCCAAGATGGCCTCCAAGACGGCTAAGATGGCCCCAAAATGCCTCCAAGACGGCCCAAGATGGCCTCAATATGCTCTAAGACGGCTCAAAAAGCCCGCAAGAGGCCTCCAAGACGGCCCAAGAGGCCTCCCAGAGGTCCTCCAGGAGGGCCCGACGAGGCCAAAATCATTGATTTTCCTTTGGTTTTTGAAGGATGTTGGCATTTGCGCCATTTCGGTTTTCCGACGGCCCAAGACGGCCCAAGAGGCTCCCAAGATCGCCCCAAAATCGCCCTAGAGGCCTCCAAGATGGCCCCTTGACGGCCCAAGACGCCCCCAAGACCGCCCCAAGAGGGCCCGAAGACGGCCCAAGAGGCCTCCAAGACGCCCAAGATGGCCTCCAAGACGGCCAAGATGGCCCAGGATGGCCTCCAAGATGCCTCCAAGACGGCAAACATGGCCTCCAAGATGGCTGAGATGGCCCCAAGATGCCTCCAAGACGGCCCAAGATGCACCCAAGACGGCCTTAGATAGGCCCAAGCGGCCCCCAAGAGGCCCCCAGAGGGCCCCAAGACGGGCCAAGAGGCCTCCAAGACGCCCAAGATGGCCTCTAAGACGGCCCCGAAGCGCCCCAAGAGGGCCCCAAGTCGGCCCAGAGAGGCCCCCAAGACGGCTCCCGACGGCGTCAGACGTGCCAGGAGCCCACCAAGACGGCCGAAGATGGCCTTAAGATGGCCTAAGACGGCCCAAGAGGCCTCCAAGAGGGCCTCCAGGGAGGCCCGAAAAGGCCAAAATCATGGATGTTCCCAAATGTTTCAAAGGATTGTGGCATTTGTGTTTTTGTTCGGCCTTCCGACGGCCCGAGACGGCCCAAGTGCCTTCAAAGATCGCCCAAGACGGCCCCAACAGGTCCCCAAGACGGCCCAAGAGGCCTCCAAAACGCTCAAGATGGCCTCCAAAACAGCCCAAGAGCCCTCCAAGACGTAGGGTCAAAATGGCCTCCAGACGGCCAAGAGGACCTTCAAGATGCCCACGTGTTCCCCGAAGGTTTTCCAAACCGATTCGGGGAACACATGGTCCGATAGCTTGGCAGGTCTGGCCTCAACGTTCGGCCACATTGGCGCTTCCAAAAAGGCAGGGGGCGGCGGTGATTCGCCGTAGGCGTCTTCGATCAAAGCAATGTTGGCCGGCGTGGATCCGAAACGATGTGCATCTAGCCATATATGCTGCGTCACCCACGTGGAAGACTGTACGTGCTGCAATATACGCAGTGCAAGTCACCCTGCAAAACTTGAAAATGTCGATTCCACTGCTCGCGCAATCATCCCACCCATCCACCCGCAACTTGGTTTGCAAAACCCATGCAGAGGCGATTGCGATGAGTGCTTGGTGTTGGCTGGTGCATTTCTGCGGCCGCGCTAGCCCGCGCATGCTCGCGCGCGCAACGGCGCCAGACGCGAAAGCCGTAGCATGGCAACGTCGACAACGGTAAACACGAATATGATAGTAGCGATGCTGGTGACGATGTTGACACCGACGACGGCACGGCCAGCGGCGCCGATGCTGATCACGCCGGCGACGATAACGGCGTCCTCGCGTCGGTGATGAAGGTTTTGGAAGGAGTTCGACATGCGCTCGCGGCCGACTCGCGACAGTGGCCCACATCGTATTTTTTGGCACGGATCGTGCCCCCTCCCCCCACAGCACGCGCGCAAGGACGTTCGGATGAGTTCGGCATGCGGCGCGAGAGGCTTCTTTGGCAAAATTCCATGAAAATGCTGGAAGCGCATGGTTTTCCTACGACTTCGCAAGAGCGCGAGAGCAAGTTTCTTTGAATGTTGATTGTACAAACTGTTTCGGGACACTCTGTTTTACACCCCGTACAAAACCGATGGCTTTTGACGGAATTTGGCACGCGCGCGCGACGACGCGCGCGTGCGCACTTCGTCCCACGTTTTGCAAAGGATTCTTGCGACAGCACGCGCGAAAGGGCGTTCGAACGAGTTCGACGTGCGCGCGCGAAGCCCCGTTTGGTAGCATGGTATGAACATGTTGGAAAATTATGGTTGTCTTAAGAATTTGAAAGAGCGCGAGCGCAAGTTTTTTTTGAAAATCCGCGTTGCGAAAACCACCACGGCGTGGATGCACATGGGGCCATCCCCGACATCACCACAGCCAGTCATCCAGAGCTGCATCCCGTCGCCCTCTTGGAGCATCTCCGATAATTAGCGGCGCAACCATGAGCCGAGTGCTCCTGCGAAACTGACAATTGCTCAGACAAAAGATCCAACGGGTACAGCATATTGGGCCTGATGCCGATGAGAGAGCCTAAGATGGCCGATCCTGCAGTGGAGCGTCCGCAAGCACATGGGGAACGAAACCGCGGTTTCTTGCTGATGGCGTCGAACAGCACACGCTTGACTGCATCGGAAACTCCCGAACTACCACTGCAGGCATCCACGACATCAGCCTCGTCAACATGCATATTGATCATATTTATGACGAGTCCTCATCGCCCTATGGCCGGGCTGGGGCCTGGGGCGCCTCTGGCGGGGTAGCCGCCCGCGGTCCATCAAGGAACTGCGTGTAGCTAGCCTGGAGGCCTGCACGAGTCTCATCGTTGTGAACCCAGCCAACGTCTGCTCGAACTGACTGGGGTGATCCACTAAAGTGGCCATGGACGGAAAATCCCCAGGCACTTGAGCTTGAACTTCAGCGGTCCCCTTCTTTGCATCAGACAGACAAACTTTTTCGGCCGAGATGATATGTTCCAACTCCTTATGCATATTTGGGAGAAGTTCAAGATGTTCAAGAATACCCGAATGCTCTTCCTCAAGCTTCTCCAAGCGCTTCTCACACTTGGCTTGCTCTTGCTGAGCTCGGCGTAAGCGCTACGAAGCGGGGGCTGCTGCGGCTGGCAATACCCCATCGAACTTCCCCACGCGAGCGAGTTGGGACAGACGATGAAGCTTATCACGAATGCCATTGGCTGACGGAAGTTCCTTGGAACCTGTGTGGTGGTCCCATGTTCCACCTTTACCACCTCGGCTCCCTTCCTCCCTTGCGAGAGCCTGTCCCACCTTTTTTCCGTGCCGTCACCGACACCGACCGATGCGCCACCAGGGATACCGACCCAAGGATGATAAGTCCACATGGACGGCAGCGGGGGAATCGTAGACTGGACACGGGGTAGGTCACGTCGGCTACGAGAGCAGAACCTGAAGTGCGCTGGCTTTTTCTTGCATTCGCAAACGCGGGCACACGGCGCCACGGGCACCCTGCCCACCATCCTGGGCCATCGCATAACGAACTCGGGGGGACGCGAGCAGACAGTGAAGTCCGCTGGAAGCTCGGGCGCTGGGTGGTCCCTGACCGTGATATGCAAGATTTCTGGCTGAACCCCTTGGGAAATGTTGAGCAATTCAGGAGGCGGCCCCTTGAGCCAAAATGGCTCCGGCTCCTCCTCCTCCTCCTCCTCCTCCTCCTCCTCCTCCTCCTCCTCCTCCTCCTCCTCCTCCTCCTCCTCCTCATATTCCTCCTCTCCTCATATTCCTCCTCCTCCTCTTACTCCTCCTCCTCCTCTCCTCCTCCTCCTCCTCCTCCTCCTCCTCCTCCTCCTCCTCCTCTCCTCTCCTCCCTCTCCTCCTCCTCCTCCTCCTCCTCCTCCTCCTCCTCCTCCTCCTCCTCCTCCTCCTCCTGTGTGCCGTAGGGCTCCCTACAGGGCCGCGATCCTCGCGAGGGGTGTACCGAAATGAGCGCGGCGCCGCCATGCAACCCCTGCCGCTGGAGCTTTCTGTGGATCTCCCTGACAGAGCCACGATCCTCGCGGAGTGTGCACCGAAATAGGTGCGGCGCCGCCATGCAAACCCTGCCACTGGAGCCTTGTGTGGAGCTCCCTACGGGGCCACGATCCTCGCGAGGGGTGTACCGAAATTGATGCGGCGCCGCCATGCAAACCCTGCCAATGGAGCCTTCTGGGAAGCCCCTTTACGGAGCCACGATCCTCGTGAGGGGTGTACCGAGATGGGTGCGGCGCCGCCATGCTAACCCTGCCACTGGAGCCTTCTGTGGAGCTCCATACGGGGCCACGATCCTCGTGAGGGGTGTACCGAGATGGGTGCGGCGCCGCCATGCAAACCCTGCCACTGGAGCCTTGTGTGGAGCTCCCTACGGGGCCACGATCCTCGCGAGGGGTGTACCGAAATTGATGCGGCGCCGCCATGCAAACCATGCCAATGGAGCCTTCTGTGAAGCCCCTTTACGGAGCCACGATCCTCGTGAGGGGTGTACCGAGATGGGTGCGGCGCCGCCATGCAACCTGGTCGCGCAGAGAATATGCTCCCACTTATACTGGCTGGTCATATAAAAGACCCATCATGCGTTCCACCTGCGCCTCCTTTCCCTCCCCCCTCCACCACCTCCTCGTTCTTGCTCCTCGCAGACTAGACCTGAAGAAGACTGACAGGCCGCCGCGCCATCCTCGAAGAACCGGTCCCACAAGGAGGCCACTGGGCCCAGCGGCACGCTGCTGGCCTGAGGGTGGCGGGCGGAAGGGAGGGGAGGGAGCAGGGAACCCTCCTGCTTCCTCTTTCGCACATGCCTGCCCCATCATGCGCTCCGAAGTGGCCGGCCAGCGCAAGGGAGGCTACAGGGCGACTGGATGGCATGAGAGCACCAGCGTCGGCGAAAGCGCGTGAAAGCCAGCAAATCAATTCCACTGACCTCCGTTACCGTTTCCGCCTCCCGCTCCCCTTCTTGTTGGCGAGGATCCGTGCAGAAACCTCTGGCATCCGCCGAACACGCGCAGACCCTCCGAAAACCTCCTCCCCTAATCCATCCCTTCTCCTTAAAGATAACTCCTCCCAGACACGTCGTTAAGGCCAGCCGGGAATTTCGGCTGAGGCTGCCTCACCCCTTCGGATCCTTAAGCTTGAAATTCGCAACTGCTTCCAAGGATGGAGGGGAGTCATTCTCAAAATGAGGCTCTCGCCTATTACCGCGCACATTCGCACATCATCAGCATCATCAGCATCATCATCATCATCATCATCATCATCATCATCATCATCATCATCATCATAATCATCAGCATCATCATCATCATCATCAGCATCAGCATCAGCATCAGCATCGTCATCATCATCATCGTCATCGTCATCACCATCACCATCACCATAATCACAATCACAATCAGGATCAGCATCACCACCATCACCACCACCACCACCACCATCATCATCATCATCATCATCATCATCATCATCATCAGCATCATCATCATCATCATCCTCGTCCGTTCCTTCTTCCCTCCGTCACCCCCTCAGGGCGGCCCCGTCAGATATCGATCCATCTGGGCACGCTGAGTCCGCGGGCAAACAGCGTCAGCAACCACTCCGTCAGAAGCAGGCTGAGGTCGTTGCGCAGGTACTCCGCCTTCCACATCCTCCTCCTCCTCCTCCTCCTCCTCCTCCTCCTCCTCCTCCTCCCTCCTCCTCCTCCTCCTCCTCCTCCTCCTCCTCCTCCTCCTCCTCATCATCATCATCATCATCATCATCATCATCATCATCATCATCATCATCCTCATCCTCATCCTCATCCTCATCCTCATCCTCATCCTCATCCTGCTGCTCCTCCTCCTCCTCGAGCGTAGCCGAGGCGACCAGGTCAGCCTCCTCCTCCTCCTCCTTTAGGAAGGGCGGGGAAGAGGAAAGGAGACGAATATCAATTTGCCATCCAAATTGGGTTGAATCCCTACTTAATTCCTCTTTTTAATGGGCCCAGGCTCCCTGACTATTCAGTTTGGGTGGTCAGGAGGGGTCTACGTAAAAGGGTCGGGACAAGGAAGATGAGGTGGCAACTGGAGGGAGGGGGAGAGAGGGCAAGGAATGACAGGACGAGAAAGAGGACAGAGGAGGACGGAGACGAGGTGGCGTGGAGGGAGGGGGCGAGGAGGAACAGGACGACGACGACAACGACGAGCTTTCCATCGACCGAGCATCCTGGGGCTCTTATCGGGTGAAGTGTTCGCGGATGGCTCACTCCTCTTGTAGGGACCTTCTTTGCGATGCAGGATGGAGCGCGGTGCTGATCGACAGCGAGGACCAGATCGGCTTCGGCACGCACGGACCCCAGCCCTTCGACCAGGACCAGCAGCGCATTTTCTTAGCGGAGTTGCGGGCTGTCGCCGAGGCGTTCCAGCTTACAGTGGCACCGATACGCATGTGGTCGGATTGCACGGCGGTGGCGAAGGGCTTCGCGCAGGCGCAGCAGCCAGTACGCTATTGTCCTGTGTGGCGGTGGGTCTGGTACTCTGTAGAGGATCAAGACAGCGACACGGATAGGTCGGAAAGCGATCGCGCAAAACACAAGGCAAGGGAAACGAACTTGTGCCAACGAATTTCTGGCCTGCTTCTCATTCACACTCTGGAGGAGGGCTACGGGCATAACGGTAGAGGAAGTGAAGGCTCACGTCATGCAACACGGCTTGAGCCTGCCAGTATTCCAGAGCAGTGAACACGCCGACGGTCTTGCCAAGCAAGGAGTGGCGCTGCACCAACATGAAGGGTGAAGCGTGACATCTATACCAGTAGCTTCCAGCTCGTGCAGGCGCGCACGGGGGCCGCGAAGAGCACTGTCAGCGATGCCGATACCTCGGTGGCGGAGGGCGCAGTGGATGCACCCCCTCCCCCCGCGCCCCCTGCAGAAGCGAAGGTGGATGAACTCCTGGACCAAGAAGTGCCCAGGGAGCCCGACGACAATTCCCCTACTACTGTTATGGACGACGCTGCTTGGCATGAAAGTGCACGTCAACACGGCCATAAGATAGCATGTCGGCCTGGGGTGCTATTCAGTGCTCGTTGCGCTGAGTACAACAGCAGCGGGAGGCGGGGGTTCGCCAAACTCCTGCGCACCGGATCCAAGGACCGTACTTTTGAAGGCCGTCTCCGTCGGCTGTGGGGAAAAAGGGCATTCCACGACAAGGAAACATTTGACCCATGATCCGTCCCCGCTGCTTACGCTCGCATGATGTAGACCTGGTAACTCATGAAAACTCCTTGTCCTCGCAACAGCGTCCTCCTCCTCCTCCTCATTCTCCTCATCCTCCTCCTCATAGACGGATGCTGTAATTCGATATATCCATTGTGAGACAATGCGTGAGTACACAATCCTATGCGACGAATCGAACATATCCTGAAAGAGCATTTGCCGTGTGAGGATCATCATCATCATCATCATCATCATCATCAGCAGCAGCATCATCATCATCAGCATCATCATCATCCTCATCATCATCATCATCAGCATCATCAGCAGCATCATCATCAGCATCATCATCATCGGCAACAGCAGCAGCATCATCATCATCAGAATCATCATCATCATCATCATCAGAATCATCATCATCATCATCATCATCTTCACCATCATCACCATCTTCATATTTTTCTTCTTCACCAGCATCATCATAAGTAGCAGCAGCATCAGCATCAGCATCAGCATCGCAATCGTCGTCATCACAATCACCATCAGCAGCATCATCATCATCAGCATCTGCATCATCTTCATCATAAATCATCCTCATCACCATCACCATCACCATCACCATCGTCATCGTCATCGTCATCGTCATCATCATCAGCATCAACAACAGCATCATCATCATCGAATCATCAGCACCATCAGGACCATCATCTCAATATCATCATCGCAACCATCATCAGCATCAGCATCGTCATCATCATCATCATCATCATCATCATCATCATCATCATCATCATCATCAGTATCAGCATCATCATAATCATCTACATCATCAGCAGCATTAGCACCATCATCAGCAGCATCATCAGCATCATCAGCATCGGCAGCATTGGCATCAGCATCAGCTTCATTAACACAATGAACAGCATCATCATCAGCAGCAGCAGAAACAGCAACATCAACATCAACCTCAACCTCATCATCCGCATCACCATCATCGTGATAATCATCATCAGTATCATCATCACCGTCATCGTCCGCATCATCAATATCATCATCATCAACACCATCATCATCAGCATCATCATCATCATGATTGCCATCACCGGCATCACCATCACCATTACCATCACCATCACCAAAATCATCACCACCACCACCATCATCACCATCATCACCATCATCATCCACCACCACCACCCATACTTCTATACTACTCCCTCTCTACCTCCTCCATCCCTCCTCCTACTTGCCCCAGGGTCCTCGCCCTCCTCCTACGCCTCGTCCTCATCCTCTTCTCCCTCCTCCCATTCGTTCATTTTCACATCCTCCCTACGGAGCAGAAGCCAGCGGACGAGGACGAGGAAGTAGTGAAGGAGGAGGAGGAGGAGGCCGAGGAGTGAGACCAAGGGCAAAGGCGAGACCAAGGACGATGAGGGCGACGAGTCGAAGTAGGCGGAGGCGCGGGGTACGCATGCACCCATCGCCCGATCCGCGTCCAGCTGCCCCTCACCCCACCCCCCCGCCAGGTGCTCGGACAGCTCCGGCATCCGCTGCTGCAGCAGCTGGGCGACGGTGAAACCGCGAACTCGGAGGCCGCGCATGTCCACCTCTCGCCGCGCGCTGTCGAGGCGGGCGCATCGGCGGATGCCTGCGGAGAGTGGTGACCCAGTGCTGCCCTGCGCAGACATGAAGCATGCCCATTGGACGGGGATGGCCTCCTCCTCAAGCTCCTCCAGCGCCTCCTCCGCCTCCGCCTGGTTAAGTCGAACCTTCCCCACCCTCTCAAAAAGCCCCCTCCCTCTCCACGTCCACAGCTCCCCCTCATCATCCTCACCCTCCTCCGCGTCCTCCTTGACCTCATCATAAATATCTGGTCGTTCCCCCTCCTGCACATTTTCATCAGGCCCTGGAAAATGGTGCAGGGAGAGGTAAAGGGAGGGACGGCGCAGCCATCGGCAAATCCGCTGAATCGAACAGCGCCTGCCCACGTGCGCACCCGCGCGCGTGGGAGCAGCGCCACATCCACGCGTGGCCCACAGATGAGTGCATCGAACTTCTCGTAGTACGCACGTGTCCACCAAGGCGGTGAGCAGCCTCTGCAGCTGGGGGCATCGCGCAGCCCTGCGCACTCCGAGGTGCTCTTTGCATTCGGCATCCACGTCGGGCAACAGGCCTGCTGCGGGAGACAGTATTAGGCGCATGACGTTGGTGCTAGACTCCGCTTGGAAGCCATCATTGCGCCACCACCTTCCTGCAGCCGCCGCCACGCCAGGTCAGCGTCCTGGGCCCTTGCTGCACGAGTCTGGTCCGTGTTCCCTGGAAGCATGAAAGCGAGGAGGCCATTGATCGCTGCCTCGGTACGCGCATCGTGGAGCTGTAAACCGATCCGAGGCGTTCCCGAGGGTGGCCTCCTCCACGCAGTCGGACGGTACGGCTGGTACCGTACGACCGATCGGCACAGTGGCCATGTCCTGTTACAGTCTGCGACACAGAGAATGTAGGAAGACAACTCGCTTGGGGGCAGCAGTAGCACGCAATCATGATTGCGATTGAGCCTGCTAACAAATCTGTCGTGATGCCGATCGTAACGCAAAGAGACTCAGCGAGCTCTTTTAATTTGGCTGTTGAACGTAACTCGCGCAACCGTTACGGATAGGCGAAGCCCCTTTGCGCGGCCACCTGTGCATTGACAGTGCGACACGCCCTGCGATCCTTGCGCTGCCAAGCCCGCCCACGGTGAAAGACCGAGACTGCTGGCGATCGGACGCAAAAAGAGGCGTCAAGCCAACACCAGGCAATGCGACATGCCTCTCCTCCTCCTCCTCCTCCTCCTCCTCCTCCTCCTCCTCCTCCTCCTCCTGCACCCCCCGTGGAAGAAAGAGTAGCCAGACAAAGCCTCATCCATTGTCGAATGCGCTCTTGCCTGCGCTGCGTCATTACCAACGGCACTCTCAACGAGTTGCCTGGGCGCACGAGGAGGAAGATGACGACGACAACCACGACAACCACGGCAACAACGACGAGGACGCCCACGACGACGACGACGACGAGGAAAGATCAGAAGGACAGAGGTGTGAGGACAGAGGACGATACGGAGGACAAAGACGACGAAGGCTGCGTATCGCCATCCCGCCCATCCGCACACCTTCCGTCTGGAAAACGACGCGCCCCTTTCCTGCGCTTGCCAGGTATGCGCAGGTGGCCGCAAGTGAAACGCAAAGGGGTGCCACGCTTCTGCATTGTTCGGCATGCACCAGCAGGTCGGGGTGAACAAAGGACGCAAAAGGACGACGAATGCAGAAGAAACAAAGGCCACCACATCCGCCTCCTCCTCCTCCTCCTCCTCCTCCTCCTCCTCTTCCAGCTCCTCCTTCTCATTTTCCTCCATCCTATTTTTTCTACATAAATCTTCCCTGTCGCACCCCGAGGCGTGTCGGTAGGGCGAGCCGGGCGTTTCGGGTGAGACTTCCTCACCATGAATGATCCTCAAGGCGTGAATGTGCCAGAACTTCACGGATGGAGGGCGGGCCGTTTTCACAATGCGGCTCTCACCACAGCGCCGCGCAAACTCGTTGTAACAAATTGCACAGAATCCCAAGGATGGGGGGCGGGCCGTTGTCAAAATCTGTAGCTCTCGCTTTAGCGCCACGTACATTCGTTTTTTAAACAAATTCGAAGATTTTCGCAAACGGAGAGCGGGCCGCTTTTATGAACCCAGCGCGACCCAAATTAAGGGACGGTTTCCTACTGCATGGGCACAATGCTTGGCATTGCTTGGCATTGCTTTGCATTGCTTGGCATTGCTTGGTATTGCTTGGACCTGCTTGGCATTACTTGGCATTGCTTGGCCATGCTTGGCATTGTTTGGCACTGATTGGCATTGCCTGGCATTGCTTGGCATTGCATGGCATTGCTTGGCATTGCTTGGCACTGCATGGCAGGGCTTGGCATTGCTCGACATTGCTTGGCATCGCTTGGAACGGGCACAATAAGAATACGAGGCACCGGTGGCAGGGAACCCGGGGAACCCGGCGAACCCGAGGAACGCGGGGAACCCAGGGAAGCCGAAGAACCCAAGGAACCCTGGGAACCCAAGGAACCAAAAGAACCCAGGCAACGCGGGGAAACCGGGAAACCCGCGGATCCCAGAGAAACCCGCCAAGAACGACCATCTATGCTTCTTCAGTGCACATCATCTTTCCGTGGTCGGCCCTTGAAACACCATCCTTCGATTTAGCGTCGGGCTGCGTGTTCGCAGGAACTCGAGACAGAATCCAGCCGTTGCGACGGGGGCCGTTGCGACGAGGGGGCGGCGGGACCGCGCTGGGGGAGGGGGAGGAGGAGGAGGAGGAGGAGGAGGAGGAGGAGGAGGAGGAGGAGGAGGAGGAGGAGGAGGAGGAGGAGGGCGGGGGAGCACGAGCGGCAGTGCGCCCTGGGGGCGCGGCGGAAGCCGCGGGGCCTGCGAGCCGCGTGCAGCAGCGGCTCTCTCGAATTTGGGGGGGGGCGGCGGAGCCCACGCCTGCCAGAGGGAGGGACGGGGGGAGGAGGAGGCAAGCCAGAGGAGGAGCTCGAGGAGGGGACGGGAGGAGAGGAAGGCAAGAAGGAGAGGAGGAGGAGGCGGAGGATGAGGGAGAGAAGGCGGAGGAGGAGGAGGAGGAGGAGGAGGAGGAGGAGGAGGGGGAAGAAGGGCAGAGCAAGCCCAAGATGCAGCAGCGATGCTGCACTACCCTCCAGTCCAAAATCTGCTCCCCACAAGCCGCTACGGCCAGTCCGCTTCGCTGCAGGAAGCGCCCCCCTGAACCACCGGGCGAGAGCCCCGCTTTGAAAAGGGGACTGCCTCGCATAACTGCTCGCTCATCATCAGGTACAGTCGGGGGCTTGACCTAAGGAACCCAAAATAAGGAACGAGGCCCCTTCTTTCCATGAGTCAAACTTCGCTTTCCGTTCGAAAACATAAGGAAAACCTGAGGCAAGCTGCGAAACACCTAAGGAACGCGGAGCCCCTCCCCAACGAAAAGGGCTCCTTCTTCAGCGCCCCGACTGTATGCGAGACGGTATGGTCATGCCCGTCAGCGACGTGTCCAGCGAGGTCCCCGTCCGAAAAAAAAGGACCACCGCCCCGTCCGCGCAGGCGTTGCGCAAAAGCCACGCCCGGCCACGCCGAAGAGAAACCTCCAGCGAGAGCCCCGGGAACGGATGCCCTCCATCCGTGCAGCTGCTGCACGTGCTGACGATGACGATTGCGGTCGTTGTGCTCAGGGATCAGAGACGTCTCGGGCGAGAACACCTTTCTTTTTTTAATATGTGTTCAACCTTCCCCAGTTGAAGGGTTCAGGTTCGTAGCGTTTGGAGCGCTGCGGGGAACAATGGGCGAGAACCCCATACTGAAAATGAGCCGCCATCCATCCTCGTTACTGATCCAGCAGTTGGGAGCGAATCTACACGGCGCAGGAGCGAGCGCCCCCTCGAAAAAGGACGCCCTCCATCTTTGCACATGCTCTACAATCTTCAAACGAGTGCACGCTGCGCTGAGGCGAGAGCTCCCTGTGGAAAACGACCACCCCCCTCCATCCCTGAATATGCTGCAACATGCTAGGACGAAATTCCGCGCTGCTGAGGCGAGAGCTCCATTTTGAGAACGACCTGTGCTCCATGAGAGCAGTTGCGACGACACCCCCCTCCTCCATCCTGAGAGGCAACGGCTGCGCACGTCCAGCTTCAGGATCATAGGTGGCGAGGGGGTCTCGAGCGAAACGTGCAGCCCGCCCGACCAGCACACGTGGGAGCGCGGCAGGTCGGAGACACCGCCAGGGAAGTGACGACAGGAATCCGAGCGGCAAAGGCAAAGGGAAGGAACAGGGCTCCAGGGGCGGGAAGCCAGAAGAGCTGGGAAAGGGAAAGGAGACAAGACAAGACAAAAGTGGCAGTGAAGCGGCAAAGACAAGATCATAAGTGGCGAAGGGGTCTCAGGCGACCCGAAGTGAACTTCAAGCTTCAGGACCATAAAAAGTGAGGGGTCGGGGCTTCTGACCCGGGTCAATCCAGACCCGGGTCAGCAAGAAACCAAAAACTGCAGTGCAGGAAAAGAAAAAACTGCAACGCAGATCTTCGCAAACCCGGGTCAGCCAATGTGCGCGGCCGCCTCGCGGCCACGAGCGGCTCGCCAACCCGGGTCGGCCAGAGGGGGTCTTCGCAGGACCCTGCAGGATCTGGCGCTCTCAGAGCGTTCCGGAACGCTCTGGAGCGGCCGCGGCGCCCAATACATCCTCCAAGCCCGCCGATTCTCAGAGATTTCGAGTTATCCCGATCCGATTTTGTCCCGATCTTCGCGTCGTTTTAGCCCTGGCTGACCCCCGTTTGCATTGACCCCCGGCTCAGGGCTCCCGGAGGGGGTCTCAGGCGGCCCGCCCGGCCCAGACCCGACCTGCACGCGCGGGGGCGCGGCAGGGAGGAGGCGCGCACCAGGAGAGGGGCACGAGCGGGGGGGAGGGGGAAGAGAGCAGAGCGGAGGGGAAGGAGACAGCAGGAGGAAGAGAGATGGGAGGAGGATGGCGGGATGATGTGGGGATGTGCAGGGGAGGTAGGAAGGAAACGCAAAGGGTATCCGTAGATGACTTCAGGAAATAGAGCATGAGGGGGAGGGAGAAGAGGAGAAGGAGGAGGACGCGGAGGACGCAAATGGGGGGAAGAGGAGGAGAGGAGGAGGAGGAGGAGGAGGAGGAGGAGGAGGAGGGACAAGGAGAAGCACGGGATCCGAAGAAGGCGGCATTGCTTAGGAGGCGAAGGGGAGGAGAGAAGGGGAAGGGGGAACGGAGGAGGACAACGAAGAAGAACAGGAGAAGGAGGGATGTGGATTGCACAGGCGTGGCTGCATGGATACAGAGAGACACGAAGTACAAATAGGGGGACCCGTGCTAGAAAAGCGCACGTACTCTTTCCTTCTACGGAGGCGTAGGCGCGTCCATCACCGGCGCGCCACGATAGCTCAAGGGCCCTCGCGAGCCGACATGGCGGCGCACAAGGGAGGACAGACGGAGGCGCAGGAGGAGGAGACTCCCCGGTCCCCAACCCAATGGTCGTGGCGACGTGGGTCATGATGCGTCGGACCTCGCCGTCATCGCGTCACCAGTTCGCCTTGTGCGACAATATCCGTCACGTGGTCGAGATTGGAGCTGGATTCGGCGCCCCTTTTCCGCGAGGCAGCCAACGCCGACGCAGCAGCCGAGGGAGAGGCGAGCGGGCGACCTCCGCGCGACGGCTTCCGCTTTAGCCTCGTGGCCGCCGACCTCGCGTCAGGGGCGAAAACCCTATCCAAAATCTCCGCCCACGCATCTGGGACAGCATCCGAGAGCACCAACGCCCGGCCGCCACTCACCCACCGAGAGCACACCGAGATCTGCTCGAGCCGGGAGCCTCATCCGTGGCTGCACGCGCCCACCCGTACTGGGGTGTCGAGGGTTTGTCCTCCTCCTCCACCTCGCCATCGCTTGGACGTCCATTCCCTGTGCATTTTTCGGTTTCGCGCGTGCATTTGTTCGCAACGTGACGAAAAATGCTCCTCGATGGCCCTTGCCGATAATTAGCCTGGCGAAGGACCCAACCATATGCAGTTGTGAATGCCGCAATTGTGCTGGGTGGTGGCGGACGCATGCGGGCGGTGCCACTGGGACCTTCGGTGGAGCTCCCTATGGGGCCACGAAACGCTGTACTGGGTGGGTGAGACGCGGTCAGCAAGGGCTGTGCTGCGTGGTGGCGGACGCATGCGAGCGGTGCCACTGGGACCTTCGGTGGAGCTCCCTATGGGGCCACGAAACGCTGTACTGGGTGGGTGAAACGCAGGCAGGGAGCAAGGGCTGTGCAGGGTGGTGGCGGACGCATGCGGGCGGTGCCGCTGGGACCTTTGGTGGAGCTCCCTATAGGGCTACGAAGCGCTGTTCTGGGTGGGTGAAGCGCAGGGAACAAGGGCTGTGCTGGGTGGTGGCGAACGCAAGCGGGCAGTGCCACTGGGACCTTTGGTGGAGCCCCCTATGGGGCCACGAAACGTGCGAGGGGTGTGCCAGAATGGGGTGTGGAACCGCATGCCAGCGCAGCCACTGGGGCCTTCGGTGGAGCTCCCTATGGAGCCACGAAACGTGTGAGGGGTGTGCCGAAATGGGGGGTGGAACCGCATGCGAGCGCAGCCACTGCGGCGTTCGGTGGAGCTCCCTATGGGGCCACGAGACGTGCGAAGGGCGTGCCGAAGAAGGGGGTGGAACCGCATGCGAGCGCAGCCACTGGGGCCTTCGGTGGAGCTCTCTATAGGGCCACGAAACGTGTGAGGGGTGTGCCGACATGGGGGGGAACCAGATGCGAGCGCAGCCACTGGGGCGTTCGGTGGAGCTCCCCATGGAGCCACCCACGAAGCGTGTGAGGGGTGTGCCAGAATGGGGGGTGGAACCGCATGCGGGCGCAGCTACTGGGGCCTTCGGTGGAGCTCCCTATGTGGCCACGAAACGTGTGAGGGGTGTGCCGCAAGCGCAGCCATGGGGCCTTCGGTGGAGCTCCCTATGGGGCCACGAAACGTGAGGGGTGTGCCATGGGGGGTGGCGATGCGGGCGCAGCCACTGGGGCCTTCGGTGGAGCTCCCTATGGGGCCACGAAACGTGTGAGGGGTGTGCCAGAATGGGGGGTGGAACCGCATGCGGGCGCAGCCACTGGGGCCTTCGGTGGAGCTCCCTATGGGGCCACGAAACGTGTGAGGGGTGTGCCAGAATGGGGGGTGGAACCGCATGCGGGCGCAGCCACTGGGGCCTTCGGTGGAGCTCCCTATGGGGCCACGAAACGTGTGAGGGGTGTGCCAGAATGGGGGGTGGAACCGCATGCGGGCGCAGCCACTGGGGCCTTCGGTGGAGCTCCCTATGGGGCCACGAAACGTGTGAGGGGTGTGCCAGAATGGGGGGTGGAACCGCATGCGGGCGCAGCCACTGGGGCCTTCGGTGGAGCTCCCTATGGGGCCACGAAACGTGTGAGGGGTGTGCCAAAATGGGGGGTGGAACCGCATGCGGGCGCAGCCACTGGGGCCTTCGGTGGAGCTCCCTATGGGGCCACGAAACGTGTGAGGGGTGTGCCAGAATGGGGGGTGGAACCGCATGCGGGCGCAGCCACTGGGGCCTTCGGTGGAGCTCCCTATGGGGCCACGAAACGTGTGGGGTGTGCCAAATGGGGGGTGGAACCGCATGCGGGCGCAGCCACTGGGGCCTTCGGTGGAGCTCCCTATGGGGCCACGAAACGTGTGAGGGGTGGCCAGAATGGGGGGTGGAACCGCATGCGGGCGCAGCCACTGGGGCCTTCGGTGGAGCTCCTATGGGGCCACGAAACGTGTGAGGGGTGTGCCGAATGGGGGGGGAACCGCATGCGGGCGCAGCCACTGGGGCCTTCGGTGGAGCTCCCTATGGGGCCACGAAACGTGTGAGGGGTGTGCCAGAATGGGGGGTGGAACCGCATGCGGGCGCAGCCACTGGGGCCTTCGGTGGAGCTCCCTATGGGGCCACGAAACGTGTGAGGGGTGTGCCAGAATGTGTGTGGGAGGGGGAGGAGGGGGAAGGAGGGAGGGAGGAAGGAGGCGGGAACGCGGGGCACCGTCTCTTCAAAACGAGGACCCAACACCACAGGATGGTTGGGAAAGGGGAGGAGGAGGAAGGAGGAGGAAGGAACGCGGGGCGACGTCTTTTCAAAACGAGGGCCCAACACCACAGGATGGTTGGGAAAAAATGCACACGTCCGAGCGATGCCAAGCCACAGGCGGACGGGGGCGCGGCTGGAGTGGCTCGTTGACCTCCTCGAGCCCCCCCTTGCCGCGTGTTCGGCGGCAGCGTGCCCCTGTTTCCGCGAGGGGGCGATGTCCACGAGGGCCGCGCTCTGCGGGACCCAGCACCAAGAAGGCCATACAAGATGCTCCTGGGTCTCCCCGTGTCCACCACGATACCGAGACAGGGAAGACGACTCAGCAGCAACCTGGGCCCGCGAACGTGCGCTGCTGCTTCTGGTCGCCGCCGGAGGGAGGGAGGAGGGTTTTCCTCGGAGCCAGGAGGAGGAGGAGCGGGGAAGGGGAAGGGGAGGGGCGGAAGGGGGGGGGAGGAGGGAAGGAGAGCGGGAAAAGGGGAAGGGAGGGGGCGGGGAGGGTGCAGGAGGGAGGAGGCGGCGCGCAAAGCGTGGCAGGCAGAGGGGCGGCCATCCACAAAAAGGCACGAGGCACCTCAGACGGGAGCGGCCACTTCAAAGACGCCTCCCTCGGAGACTCTTCAGGGCGAGCGCCCGTGTGGCGCGTCGCCTCGAAGCTCGCGTCCCCTCCGCCTTCTCAATGGGGGAGCCTCCAGAAGTCGGCGGTGGACAAACCTCCCTCTAGCAAACCTCCCCTCAATGAAAGCGGCCTGGGACCGAAATTTACTGACCTGGACCCGCAGAAATGACGGCCGCGACGCCCTCTCGCGAACCGAAAACGGCCAACTCCTTAAGCGACGTGTCAGGGTAGGAGGTCGATCCGCCTCCGAAAAGGGCCGCCCGCCCCCTTGGGACCTCTGCCGTTATGTCGGGCGTGTCCCCCCCCTACAGGGGGATGTGCGACGAACCATAAAAGATACCCCAAAAATGCTCCAACAAACATCAAAAATTAGCCTGGCGAAGGACCCAACCATATGCAGTTGTGAATGCCGCAATTGTGCTGGGTGGTGGCGGACGCATGCGGGCGGTGCCACTGGGGCCTTCGGTGGAGCTCCCTATGGGGCCACGAAACGCTGTACTGGGTGGGTGAGACGCGGTCAGCAGCGTGGTGGCGGACGCATGCGAGCGGTGCCACTGGGACCTTCGGTGGAGCTCCCTATGGGGCCACGAAACGCTGTACTGGGTGGGTGAAACGCAGGCAGGGAGCAAGGGCTGGCAGGGTGGTGGCGGACGCATGCGGGCGGTGCCGCTGGGACCTTTGGTGGAGCTCCCTATAGGGCTACGAAGCGCTGTTCTGGGTGGGTGAAGCGCAGGGAACAAGGGCTGTGCTGGGTGGTGGCGGACGCAAGCGGGCAGTGCCACTGGGACCTTTGGTGGAGCCCCCTATGGGGCCACGAAACGTGCGAGGGGTGTGCCAGAATGGGGTGTGGAACCGCATGCCAGCGCAGCCACTGGGGCCTTCGGTGGAGCTCCCTATGGAGCCACGAAACGTGTGAGGGGTGTGCCGAAATGGGGGGTGGAACCGCATGCGAGCGCAGCCACTGCGGCGTTCGGTGGAGCTCCCTATGGGGCCACGAGACGTGTGAAGGGCGTGCCGAAAAAAGGGGTGGAACCGCATGCGAGCGCAGCCACTGGGGCCTTCGGTGGAGCTCTCTATGGGGCCACGAACCGTGTGAGGGGTGTGCCGAAATGGGGGGGGAACCACATGCGAGCGCAGCCACTGGGGCGTTCGGTGGAGCTCCCCATGGAGCCACCCACGAAGCGTGTGAGGGGTGTGCCGAAATGGGGGGTGGAACCGCATGCGGGCGCAGCCACTGGGGCCTTCGGTGGAGCTCCCTATGGGGCCACGAAACGTGTGAGGGGTGTGCCACAATGGGGGGTGGAACCGCATGCGGGCGCAGCCACTGGGGCCTTCGGTGGAGCTCCCTATGGGGCCACGAAACGTGTGAGGGGTGTGCCAGAATGGGGGGTGGAACCGCATGCGGGCGCAGCCACTGGGGCCTTCGGTGGAGCTCCCTATGGGGCCACGAAACGTGTGAGGGGTGTGCCAGAATGGGGGGTGGAACCGCATGCGGGCGCAGCCAGCCACTGGGGCGGTTCGGTGGAGCTCCCTATGGGGCCACGAAACGTGTGAGGGGTGTGCCACCAGAATGGGGGGTGGAACCGCATGCGGGCGCAGCCACTGGGGCCTTCGGTGGAGCTCCCTATGGGGCCACGAAACGTGTGAGGGGTGTGCCAGAATGGGGGGTGGAACCGCATGCGGGCGCAGCCACTGGGGCCTTCGGTGGAGCTCCCTATGGGGCCACGAAACGTGTGAGGGGTGTGCCAGAATGGGGGGTGGAACCGCATGCGGGCGCAGCCACTGGGGCCTTCGGTGGAGCTCCCTATGGGGCCACGAAACGTGTGAGGGGTGTGCCAGAATGGGGGGTGGAACCGCATGCGGGCGCAGCCACTGGGGCCTTCGGTGGAGCTCCCTATGGGGCCACGCAAACGTGTGAGGGGTGTGCCAGAATGGGGGGTGGAACCGCATGCGGGCGCAGCCACTGGGGCCTTCGGTGGAGCTCCCTATGGGGCCACGAAACGTGTGAGGGGTGTGCCGGAATGACTGGGGCCCTCGGTGGAGCTCCCTATGGGGCCACGAAACGTGTGAGGGGTGTGCCAGAGGGGGAGGAGGGAGGAGGAAGGGGAGGAGGAGGAAGGAGGAGGAAGGAGGAACGCGGGGCGACGTCTCTTCAAAACGAGGACCCAACACCACAGGATGGTTGGGAAATACTAGAAAAAAAAGTCCCCAGACTATTTTTCTACTATTTTTGATTATTTTTGGGGTATCTTTTTATTTTTCGTCGAAAATCCCCCTGTAGGGGGACACACCCGACTTAACTCTACCGGGGGCCCTTCCGACCAGGACCCCGAGGCGAGTCCGCCCCCGTGGCGACGAAGGCCCCCCTCTGGGGGGCCCCAGGAGAGCAGAAAGCCGTGGAAGCGCCTCGGCATCGGCACGCGTTCCTCCCCCGGCCTCTTGCTAGGGGGCCACGTGCGGACACTACCCCCTAACCCCCCACGACTTCTGAGGGGGAGGGCGGGGTTCACTTCGCTCGCGAGCTCCCGAGCGAAGTGAACCACACCCTCCCCCTCCTGGCCATCGCTCGGACGTCCATTCCCTGTGCTTTTTTCGGTTTTCGTGCGTGGTCTTTCCGCCAAATGATCAAGGATGCTCCTCGATGGTCCTCGCCGAGAAAAAAATGCACACGTCCGAGCTATGCCAGGCCTCTGAAATCGTGGGGGGCAGGGGCAGTGTTCGCACGTGGCCCCCTATTTTGCGCGCCGCCGATGGAAGGGGCCGCGGCGCCAGGGCCGAGGCCGCGAGCCGCCCTCACGGCAGCATATGCCGGATCTCGGAGACGGCGTCGACCTGCAAGTGGGCAGCGGGTACTGTGCTGCCTCCCCTCCCTCCCCCCTCCTTCTCGCACCACGGTTTAAGAACCTGTGCCAGTTAAGGGTGGGAGGATACTATACGGGGGGGTGAACTTATGTCCTTGCTCCCTTGGTGCCCGTGCAGAAGTTGTTAGTCTGACTAATACTCTGCTAGCTGCAGCGCCACTCAGTCTCGACAAGCCGCATGCTTCAGGGAGGAGCCAATCCAAAAAATCCCCCTCCTCGCAGCAGGGTCCGAGTTAAACAGTGTTTTCCGTGTTCGTTTTGTTCTCGACATCCCCAGTTCTGTCCTCGTTCCACCTTTGCTGCAACACGAAGCCAAAACGAAACCAGCCCACGAGATTGCCAAAACACCGTTTAGCTCGAGCCCTGCCTCGCAGCCCCCCTGTCGGCTACACGCAAGAGTGACCCTGGGTAAGAGTGACCTTTGGTGCGCGGCTTTTTGGGGGGCGCGAGGATGCCAAACACAAGGGCGCCAGGCGCTGATGTCGCGACGAGCGCGGCGATCGGAGACCCCAGTGAGCGCGCACCAGAGGTCACTCCGGCGAAGGGTCACTCCTACGTCCAGTCGACCCTTTGCTCCGTTCGCCGCGACGTCCCGGGCCCCGGCCTTGCCCCTGTACACGTCCAGCCGGTCCCACCTGTGAAGGGGCCCACAAGCACACAAGTAAAGACACACAAATAACAAGATGCCCCCTATTTCCCCATATGTTTTCTGGGCTTCTCTCCTCCCCCCCACTTCCCATAATTATTTTCCCATCTTTTCCTGGGGAGCGACGATTCATTGTGTCTGTGTGCTTCTTTCCCTCCTGCACCTGTCCTCCGCGCGGCCTCCCCGCGCCTGCCCCGCGGGCGGGGCGCGCCGCCCCGCCGCCGGCGGGGCGCACAGCACGGCCTTGGGCGCCGGGGGGCCGCGCAGAGCGCGGGGGGGAGAGAGAGCTGGGCAGCGAGGGGCCGCGGCGGGCTCGCGCCGCGGCGACGACGGCGTCGGCCCCTGATGACGAACGAACAACACACACCCATACCCATAGGGGGGTCGTTGGGAGGAGGACTGGCTATGGGTATGGGTGCGGGTTGTCGGACCCTGGGCGCCAAGGGCCGCGCGGCGCGGGGGGGAGAGAGCCTTAGGGAGCCCACAAAGGACGTGCGCGCCCAGCTATGTACATGAGCACGGCCCCTCGATCCGTGTGAGACCAGCCGCTTTGTACGAACATTTGCGCCAGGTGAGCTCTCGAAACCAGCGTGGACTCGTGCACAGGTACGTCCTTTTTCCGCTCCCGAAGAGCTGGGCAGCGGAGGGCCGCGGCGGGCTCGCGCCGCGGCGGCGGCGGCGTCGGCCCCCGACACCGCCTGGACCGCTGGATCGCTGGCGCGATCGCAGGCCTCCGAGAGCGCAGGCCGCTCGATGGCGGCCGATTCCGGGGCGCCTCGGGCGCTCCACCTCGACCGATCGCACGCCGGGGTCGTCGCCGCGGCCACGCGGCCCGAAGCGGCCGTCTGCCGGTGCACATGGCGAATGAGGGGGGGAGGGGCAAGCTCGGTGCGCGTGGCACCACGTCTGACATCCTGCCCCTCCCACCCCTCCCTTCCCACTGCGTTGAATCCTGGTCTATCTGCCGACTGGGGTGTCTTACAGGACTCTGATCGCCCCCACGCAGTTGCAAGAATGGGCCCGTCGTTTGCTGCACTATCAGGCACATAATTTGTCGTTCGCAGCGGAGCGGTACTCTTATCACGGAATTGGCTGGCCGCCACAGTCCGCGTTGCCAGGCGGATGAGCAGGAGGCGAAGGAGGGAGCGCTGGGTTTGCTGGAGGACCAGTTCTCGGCGGCGAGCAAGAGCACAAGTCCTGAGTAGAAAGATGGGCAAATCTCGAGCGGGAGCGACATGTCTTTTGCAAGGCTATGCTTGCCACTTTCGCGATGAGTTCGCGGTCTCTGCTCACTCTGCAGGCGATGCCCTTCTGTGTGCAGTGCACTCAGTGCTGAGCTTGCAGCCAGCCTGTATGCACCTCTGGTTTCCAGGACTGCCACCCCCCGGGGGCGGGGCGCCACGTAGCAACATGAAGCTGCCAACTCTGCTCCGTCAGCTTACGGTAAACTCACTGACACTTTAGTCGACTCATCGCCTTCAGCAAAACGCGCGCGCGAGCGTTGCGGACTGCAACGCGTAACAGCCAAGTCCCAACACCACCACAAACCGCGAAGACTACATGCGCGAAGGCGTACCCCTGCCAGCGCGTGGGCATGAAAGCCACTGAGCGAACACATTGTAATGCTATGGGCGCTGGCCAACATTACAGCGTCCACATACCATGGTGAAAATTGAGTGCGTCATACATTAGTCCCACAAACGAGACATCAACAAATGTAGGAAGCATTGGCAGCACAGTTGCCATTCGACAGACCCTACTGACGGAAAGATGTGTTATTCGTCACTGGAGAACGTTACACTCTGATCTCGAGCTATCCCACTTTAGCGCTTTGCTGGCGGGAACTAGCTGGACGTGTACGCAGATCCGCCACAGTGCCTTCAGCACGAAGTGGAGTGCCCCAAGGCTCATGCGGGTGTATGAGTTCGGCGGGCTGTGCCAGTTGGGGGACCCAGAAGACCCCAAGACTGCCTTCGATGCCCGACAACCCAAGAGGCCCCCAAGAAGCCTCAAAAGGCCGCCGAGAGGCCCAAAGGCTCCGAGAGGCCAAAACCGGTGTCCCCACAGTTGATGGAGGATTTTAGCGTGCTCACCTGTTCGGGATTGCGACGCATCAAGACGGCGAAAGAGGCCTCCAAGATACCACCAAGACGACCTAAGAGGGGCCCCGGACGGCCCTAAGAGCGGAAACTCGAACTGACAGTTCGCGCCCTCCGCCCCAAAATGGCCCCAAGGACTCCACAGGCATCCACGAGGCCTCTGACCTGCAACCTGGCCTCGGTGGCTTCATCCTACAACGCTTTTGCTGGGCACTTGCCAAGTTATGACATCGCATGAGACACAACCGTTCGCTGCCTATCATCCAGATCATGCAGTTCCCAACGCCCTCAATGTTATGGAGCCACTCCTCTGCACACGACAGGTGTATTCTGGCATGTCGGATATCACTGCCAGTGGTTGTCCCATTTCCATGCGAAGCGTCTGCTGCCTTAGCCCAGCTGTTCAAAGACACAGTAGCATATTCCGAGCATTTTGTCAATCGGCCGTCAAGCGATAGGCTAGTATCAGAAAAGGATATATCGACACAGCCAGATAAAATAAACATAATATTCAACCTTAGAGGATGTGTTATACGCTTCGCACGTGTTGCCTTCATTGCTGATTAATTCCCCGTGAAGCACAGCTGATCTGCCAAGTGAAACGGTGAATTACTCAACAGGTCCAATGGAATCCCTTGATTCGCATACGTTCCCTCATCCACCAAGCCCAATTGCCATGGGTAATATGCTTCCTCACGATGCAGCTTTCAAAGAAAATGTAGCCGGCGCTGAGGCGAAAGCACCAGTGCGCCGTTGGGGTCAAACAATCATGGTTGGTGTTATTATGAGCCAAGCTCAACTACAACAACAGTGAACAAATAAAACAATGAGGAGCGGAGAACGGAGGAGAAAGCGGGAGGAGGGAGACTAATTCAGCTGCTTACACCCCCACTTCAGTGTATTCATGACAGGTCTGGCCTCCCCGGTCTAACGACGGCTGGCGGGATCGGGGTCGACCCCGAACGCAAGACCAGCAAGCTGTGTAAATTAGAAATACTTTCCACTACAAGCTCGAAAAGGCATGCGGCTGCTCAGAGGTGGCCGAGCGCTGGGACACCGTGGCTCGTGCACGACATCATAAAACCACCAGATGGAGGTGACTTGTAAGGAACCGCAAGATGAGACTGATCAGCCGACTTGGACAAGCAGGCACTGGGATGGGGCAGTGGAAGATACGCAGAAAGCGTGACGATGAAAAAGATGGGCCCCAAGACAAGGCGAGGGGAAGCTGGACAGACCGCGACAGGGGGGGGGCCCAGCAAGGGGAGACTTCGTCCTGCCCTGGCGTTTGGGATCGGAGTCCCGTGACCTCGATCGGTGCTCTTTGCCCGACGTCCTGGTGATGACTACTCAAGCCTGCCGTTCTGAGAGCGGCCCGCCAGAGAGCATAGCCACGTTCTTGGGGGCCTGAGCGATCCCGAGCTCAGGGGTAGCAAGCTTCTTCTGGGCCTCCGCAGACGCAGGTGGAGTGGTATCTGGGTCAAGACTGGCAGTGGGCAGCGCTACTTGTAGCGACAGGAGCTACGCTGTAAGGCCAGCGGTGGCCGGTAACGGTGCAACTTGGCCATTTATCAAATTTGAGCGGCGTTGGCTCTATTGACCCGTACCCGTTCACCCAGGGGACAGGATCCTCTTCTAGTACGCTGCTGCGCGCCCTGCGGCGCCAGCCGCACACGGGCCTGTGGCAGGTGGCAGCAGTCACACACAGGGGGATGCGGCAGTGACCGCCCACAGCCTTGACACGCGCTCCAGGACAGGCAGTCGCCAGCAGTGGATCCGAAGTCGGGTGCTCACAGGGTCGCAGACGCTCACGAGGTGCCCGTCGCGGGCCTCGAAAAAAAGTCGGGCGGAGCTGAGAGTGGCGGACGCAGCCCGTGCCCCCTGGAGGCGGGAGCCCTCCGCAGCAGGCGCCGCGACGGCGGCGCCCGCTGCACGACGAGCTGCGCTGGCGCAGGCGGCCGGCAACCGCCACGGGACGAGAGGCCGCCGCTGGGGAGTGAAGCCTCGCTCCTGACTACCTACCAGACCACCCCAACCCAACCCGAAGACCCCAATTTCGGGTTGGGAAGGGTACGGGTTCCATGTGTTTTTTCAGTGTTCCCCGACCACCCCCCCACTGGAAATGGAGGGCAAATTGAGGCCTTCGGGTTGGGTTGGGGTGGTTTGGTGGGTGGTGAGCTCCCCCCCCCCCAACCCCCCGGTTGCCAGTCATCCCCCTCTGCCCCCGTGAGCACTCCATCCATTCTGGACCGGCGACTCCATCATCGGGACGACCGACATGGGTACTGAAAGGAAGGGTACAATGCCCAACAGCAGTTCCTGATCATTTTGAACAGGACTCGCTGTCCGCGCCGCCGCGACCTGTGTACATTTGAGACAGAAGGCCGCCTACCCAACAGCGGCCGCTGCTGGTTTGGGACAACGTTTGTTGTTGGGCATTGTACCCATTTTTTCCGTACCCATTTCGGGCGTCCAAACATCAAGCGCACTCCACCGCGGCGCCATGCCTCCTCCGTCACTCGCGCTGCTGCGATGGCGCACAATTCCAGGCCAGGCCGGGCGCTCCATGCCCCCAGGGCGGGCGGCGGGACTCCATGGGTCAGGCCTCCACCCCCCGCCTTCGCCCTTCATGAGCTCTGGACGCTCCTGGAAACAAGGTATGCAGTGCGGATGCGGTCGCAAGAAACCCTCGCAAAAAAAAACAGCCCCAAAAGTCGCCCGCAAGATGCACACGGGGGGTGGACCCAGAGCACCCTGAACGCAGCAGCTCCTCCAGCGGCTGCAGGAAGTCACCGCGCAACACGCGGAGTAAAGAAACCCAGGGTACCCTGACGAAAAGCATCTGGTTCCTTGATACGCGTCCCCACTGTACCAGTATTTGTTCTACGCGAAAGCCGTTTCAGATGAGGACATGCCCTGTGAGCATTGCAGAAAATCTGCCGATCCATCGCGACCACGCGCGCTCCAGGTGAGAGGAAGCCTCAATGCGAGTTCACCTTAGAAACGTGTCGGCGACATGTGTTGTAGAAGAGGGGGACGAGGCGAGAGGAAGCGAAGAACATGCACGCTAGATGTCAACGTCTCTCTAAGATGGTATTGTCCGTTTGAGCCTCCCTACAATCATCGCTGCTGACGCCCTGGTTTCCGTTGCAAGTCTAGGTTCTGTCGATGAACGTATACGCGAAGCGCCCACGCGAGGCGCCTTGCCGCAGATCTGCGACATCATCACAGAGACGTCTGGCAGTGGCCGGATTCCTTTGCTGGGGGGTGGGCGGCGTGACTCTCCTGACCTCGCTCGACGGGATGAAGCACAAAACGAACACGTGATCTCGGAACCATGCTGCCACCTTCCCCCACCCTACCACACAAACTTCCGCCACACAGCTTATCGCCGCGCATTTGCCTACCCCACGCCCCCCGGCCGAGGATCCCAGCACACCCTCCCCTGTGCGACGCACAGCGAGCGGGTCTGCACAGTTCAGGCGATCCCCTTCGATTCGGGCAAGAGTACGGACATAAACTGCATAAGCGTGAACGCATACTCGCATTAATGCTTTTATGCGAAAACCCAGGGGGGGCGAAAACCATCGAACACCAGTGGGAAATCAATTATACGGGCTTCCGAGGCGCTTCGGCTGCAGACCGCCTCGCCGGAGCTTCGAGAGGCCAAGAGAAGCCCCCAGAACGTTCCAGGATGGTGCGAGACAGGGACCCGGGACGGCCCTGAGACTACCCGATATCCCCACAAAACGACCACGGCCCGAAGACTGACCTCCAAGAAGGTTCAGTCGAGTCGACCCTCTTCGAAACAGCTCAATCAAAAAAATGCGCACATGACGGTCCCGAGACGACCCAACGGAGCACCAACGGAGCCCCAACAGGCACACCAGAGGCCCCCAGGAAGGCCCTAAGAGGCCCCCCGGGGGGCTCAAGAAGCCTCCACGAGACCTACAATAAGAGTTCTATGGGGAAGGAAGCGGGGGAGGAAGAGGAAGAGGAGGACGACGAGGAGAACCTCGATTCCCGACCCTTTGTGCTCACCCTCTCCAGATCAGGCTGACGGCCAACGACCCTGATAATCCGGAGAAATCTAATTTCAGAAGCCTATGGCTCTGGCCTCGAGCAACTCCAGGCTGGAGAGCGAGTCGCATCAGAAACATCTGGCCTCAGTAGCCTCTGGCTGGGGCTGGTGGTGATATTTTTTTCGTTCGCAAGCGCACTGGGATGCCGGGCGCCGTCAAGAAACGCGGTTGACTAGCAACGGCCTAGATTCCGCGGCACGAAGGGGAAGGAAACCAAGCGGAGGAAGAAGCGAAGAAAGAGCACACAGGAGCGAGCTACGCTGCAGCTCAGGAGACGCGGTAGACCAGGAAGAACCACTGGTCAAGGCGCAGCAACAAAATGGCGAAATTCATGATGTCCACGTGCTCGATGACGGCCGGTGGGGATACTTTTCCTCGCGGGCGCGAGCGAAAGCGCAGGCGCCGAGTTGAAAGGTCCGGGCCACGGGCCGATCTAATTAACACGCGCGGGCGAGGCCGCCTACGGCGTGAGGGGAGGAGCAACGCGCGAGCCTAAAAGCACAGCGACCGAGCGCGGGATCAGAACCTACCGCCGGGGAGGCAGCTGGCTGAGGCTGAGCTGGCTGAGCTGGCTGCAAATGGCTAGGGTAGCTGCTGTACACGTGCGGGTGAATTGGATCCTGCACGCCAGGAGATGTCGTGACCTGTTCTGTACCTTCAGACCAAACGTACGCCCAGCGAGGAGGTGCCACCGGACGGTCAGACCCGGGAAGGCGACGCGCAACCAGGAAGAACAGAGTCCGAAAGGTGCAGACGCGCTCGAACTCAAAGTGAGTACCGTGGGAGGAAATCACCAGGTACGCTGCCGGACCTTGTCGCCACCAGGCGCCAGGGGTCGGGGCCACAGCTGTGGCTAGGTACGTGCCAAGACCAGTCGGTAACGATGCGCCAGTGGGGGGGGCGCTGACCACTGCAAGAAGGCTGAACCACTCCTGAGTACGACGGCAGACGTAACCCCATAGGGCCAGCATCAGACACGGCCGGCTGAGGCAAATACTGTAGACCAGATGCCCAGGGATTGCAGACGCAAACGTGGGGACTGGCAAGGGGGCGTGTGTCGGGGACGCCGCACAGAGGGAACCGCGTTTTGCGCGGGATGGGGAGGCCGGGGCAGGTGGGAACTGACATCACCTGCCGGCGAGGGGAAAGAAACGTCCTCCAGGACTATCCAGCGCCAGGGGACGGCTGATGGCCGTAACAGCGATGCAAGTCAGACTGCCGGTACATACGGCTGATGGCCGTCCCGTCCTTCTTGTAGAGAGAGAAAAAGAGAGAGAGAGAGAGAGGGACCAGAAGAGAGAGAGAGAGAGAGCGCGCCAGGGGACGGCTGATGGCCGTAGGAGCAATGCACGTCGGAGACGGCAGGGACGTACGGCTGATGGCCGCCTCCTCCTTTCCAAGAAAAGAGAAAGAGAGAGAGAGGGAGAGGGAGCGCCAGGGGACGGCTGATGGCCGTAAGAGAACTGGGAAGGTGGGCACGTCCGATGGCCGTTTGCCGGAGACGTCCAGGCCAGGGAACGGCTGATGGCCGTTTGAGCACTGCACGTCCGAGACTGCAGGAACATACGGCTGATGGCCGTCCCGCCCATCTTAGTATAGAGAGAGAGGGGAAAAAAAAAAAAAAAGGAGAGCCAGGGAGCGGCTGATGACCGTAAGAATAGTGCTGAGAGGACTGGGGAGCGCCCCGGGGCACCAATTTCTGCTGTCCCACCGGTGCCGAGAGCCCTGTCTTTGGCGACGAGCTCGTCTGCCGGCTGCTGCTCTGGCGGCGTGCGCCGGCACGAGTATTGACACGTACGCTGTTGGCAGTCCCTGGGCTGTGGGGGCGGCGCGGAGCCCGCGTTACTCCTCCGCAGAGTTGTGGCGCTGCTGGGTCGGGTCAGCTGTCTGCGGGTCCACCTGATGAACGACACCCGTGGTCAGCTGGTACAACTGGACGGTGTACGCGTACCCAGGACGGGACGCTGCGCGGAAGCAACCAGGGCGGTCGGACCGCTGTGAACGCAGGACCATACAGCTGATGGCCGTCACGTCTTTCCCAGTGGAGACAGAGAACGAGAGAACCGAGACAGGGGGACGGCTGATGGCCGTATGAGCAATGCACATCGGAGACTGCAGCGCCTACAGCTGATGGCCGTCACACCTTTTTCCACAGGGGACGGCTGATGGCCGCATGGGCAATGCATGTCCGTGACTGCAGGTACATACGGCTGATAGCCGTCCCATCCAATTCAGTAGGGAGAGAGAGAGAGAGAGAGCGAGACGGAGAGCCAGGGAAGCGTCCAGAATTTCGAGGCGGATCCGTAGCGACAAAAAGACCCTCCCGTTCGATCCTCCTCGAGCTCAGTCCCTTCCCCTTCCTGATGGGGAAACATCAGTGAAGGACAGGCTGAGGTGGGGAAACAACATCCTGGAATTGGCGATACGTCGCCGTTTGGTCGGCAATAGGCCGCAAAAAGCTGACCCGCACGTTCCCGGGCGGGGTGGGCCATCGAGCCCCATATCGGCGATCCGTGGGCGACAATTGCAGGTCGATGCCCCCTCCTGAGCCTGCCACCTCCTGAGGCTGCTGCCCCGGACTAGAAGAGCAGCAACGGCATCCTAAACATACACTTTCGGAGCTCCGCGCGGCGCGCCGAAACCTTGTCCATGCAGTTCTCTGCTCTTCGACGACCTCCCCCCCTCGCAGGTCCTCCCGCGCCCGCCTGCACCACCGGCGGCCGCTCCCCGACGCCCGCGCCGCGGAGCTTCGCTGGCTCGTCGGGCGGCGGCTCTCCGAAGCCCGGCAGCGGCCGCGGCGCGGCCGTGACAGCGGCACGCTGCAGGTCGTCCAGCTCCTGCCGGCCGCGGCCGCCGCCAGAGGGGGCCCGCCACACACCACGCTTCGGAGGCCCTCCGGAGGCCTCGGGAGAAAGAGAAGGAGGAGGGCCTCCCGCTTCCTCCTCCTCCCTCTCCTCCTCCTCCTCCTCCTCCTCCTCCTCCTCCTCCTCCTCCTCCTCCACTTCCTCCTCCTCCTCCTCCTCCTCCTCCTCCTCCTCCACCTCCTCCTCCTCTTCTTCGTCTTATTGTTAATATCATTATTCTTAAGATTACTCTTACTGCTCTAGTCTTCTTATTAGAATGAATAGTTTGATTCCTCGTTTAAATAATATCAGTATTCTTATGTTATTAGTAGTCTTATTGTTCATAATACATATATCAGTATTAACATTCGTTATTCGTATGGTGTTTATTCTTAGCATTCGTAGTATTAGTTTGTTTGTATTCGTACTGCTATGGTTATAACTGTTCGTAGCAGTCGTAGTAAGAGTCGAATGTTAATACGATTGTTAGTATGACTGTTTGTGTAGCCTTAGTATTATCAGTATGAGTATGCTTAGCATTAGTATTGGTTCTATTTGTAGTATTCGTTCTATTAACCGTTGTATTATTCGTCAGCTTATTAGTATTCTTCTTAGTAGTATTATTAATAGTATGATTATTGTTCGTCGTTTCATTATCATTATTACTGGTATTAGTCATAAGCTTCGTTGTACTCTTATTTGTATGATCATTCGTATTATGGTAGGTATGGTTAAAAATATTATTAATCGTCCTCCTTTTCCTCGTCCTCCTCCTCCTCCTCCTCCCCCTCCTCCTCCTCCTCCTCCTCCACGGAAACCCCACCAAGAAAACAGAGGTGGCACGCAGCAGCACCGTCACTGGGCCATGCTCTGGAATCCCACTTTACCCTGGGGGCTACAGGTCGAGGAGGAGAGAAGGAAAAGGAAAACGAAAACGACGGGGGAAGGAGGACGAGATAGAGACAAAGCAAATAAAAAAAAATACAATTTAGGTTGGGCGCACGCACTCGCCAGTAACACATAATGAAAATGGAGGCGGGCACCGCGGCACACGCGGCGCTGCTCCGCAGCGGCATGCAGGCGCGAGCCTGGACGTCTAAAGAGGCCCAAGGTCGGCTAGCGGATGCGAACACAACCGCGAAATGACCGTGCAAACAATGGCGATTGGGCCACCAATTTGGAGGAGGGAGGGGGAGGAGGAGGAGAAGGAGGAGGAGGAGCAGCAGCAGCAGGAGAGACAAGGGCAAGGGCGGGAAGAGAAGGGGAGGAGGATGCGGTTCAAATCCGACGGAATCGTCGCCCGATCGACTGATCGTGCGACTATGTTTCACAATCGGGCGCTGTGAAAACATGCGTGCCGCACGACGGCAGTCCGACCACATTTTGCCTAACGGGTCGGGGGCTGTAGAGAACAAGCGACGCGGGGGGGGGCACGATTTGTCCGCCCCGCGCGCGCAACAAACTGCAACCCGCTTCAGTCGACGCCCGACAAAATGTTACTTAAGACCGGGGTTTCGCATTGCAGGCGTGGCTACCCAGAAAGCAACGCAACGCAGCAGAAATGCCCAGTGCTTATGAGAAGGCTGCCCTGGCGGCGCAGTGCGAAAGAGAAGAGGAAAGGATCCGCCGTTCGACACTCGCGATGGTGACGCCCGCGGCGCGGCAGTGCCCCAGGTTGCCGCCTGGCTGGAGAACGTACGATCGGTCAAACCAGTCCGCCCAGGCAGCCGCCACCAACAGAGTGTCCGAAGTCATGCGGGCGCGGCGGAGCTCCGCAGCCCGGGCTGCAACCCGCAGGCCTCCCTCGGCACCGTTTTCCATCGCTGCGACCCTGCGTTGCGCTGCCCTCTGCCGCGCGCGCAGATCCGCGAAGCCGCGGGGGAAGCCTAGGACTTGGAGCTGCCGCAGGTCACCAGGGGACGTCCACAGGCTGGAGCCTGGCACTAAGCGGTTGGGAACCTCGGTTTCCACGGACCCCCAGCGAGGTGGCAGTGCGTCTAGCTGCATGAGAAGGCCGAGGACGGACGCTATGTAGACCGTGTAAGCAAGCGTTGTCAAGTAAAGGCCCCCGCCCGCCGCTCCCCGCCAGCTCGCCCTGTCCAGCACCCTGTCAAACGCCTTGCTGTAGCCTTCGCGCCCTCGCTCGGGCCCGAGGAGAAAACCGAGGTATTTGGAGCGCCAGGCGACTTGCACTCCGCCCCAGCCTTGGTGCGCGGATAGCACCCCGCTCAACACTATCGCCGCGTCGCTGCCGAAGAGCGGAACCTCGTCGTGATTTTGCCTCGCAGCGCGAGGGGTCCTGGCTCCAGGCCTCAGTCGGCCCCCGAACATCCCGGGCGCAGCTGGACCGGGATGTCGCGGGGATCCCCGCCGCGGCGACGAGGAGCCTCCCCGACGGCCCACCAGGTGGACGAAAAAAAAGGTTCGGAGACCCGCGCCGCCCCCCCCCCTGCCGAGGCCTCCTCTCGGGCCGGGCGAAAGGGGGGGATAGCCAAGGGCGGGCTTGAGAATCGGCTCGCGTGGCTGATTTTCCCGGCGCCTCCCGGCGCCAGAGGCGACGATGCATCGAGGCATGGGCCCCTCGGTGGGGCCGAAAGCAGCTGCACGCAGCAGATTTCGCACCCCCCCCTTTCCCAATCCCCCCCCAGTCGCCGGGGGTGTCCCCGAGGCGGCCCAGAGGAGGGGACCAGAAGATGCGGAGGAGTGCAACAGGCCCGAGGGCGAGGGAGAGGAGGGCGAGGAGGCGGAGGAGGTGGAGCAGGAGGGCGGGGAGGAGGGGGAGGAGGCGGCGCAGGAGGGCGAGGACGCGGAGGAGGCAGAGGCCGACGCAGGAGGAGGCCCAGGACACAGGACGAGGACAGAGACGAGGACTCAACGAGGGGAGACGTCGTCTGCGACGAGCAGCGCGCGGCCACCAGCACCGTCGCCAAGAACGTGCTGCAATGCACGAACTTCTGCACAGGCTCCAAATTTGTCCAGTGGGCCGACCCGAAAGTCTTGGCGGATGGCGCCTCCTGCAACTGTTACGAAGAGAACCAGTGCGAGATGACCCGGGCAGCAGCCAGCTTGGACTCGCGCGCCAGGGTGTACAGATGCTACGACGAGTGAGCCCGGCGGCAACGCGCGAGGGCAGCCCAGGAGTGCCCAGCGCTAGGTGGCAGCGCAGACGCCCCCCCCCCCTTACGGCAGGTTCGTGTAGTGCCGACCCCAGCGTTGGTTCTTGACACCGCAGGGATCGTTCAACCTTGAACGATCGGCCGCTGCCGCAACGTCCAATCGTTCCACATCGATCGATTCTGGGTCGCTGGCGGCGTTCAACCTTGAACGCCCGCGGCGGGGCTTATAATAGCCAAAACCAGCTGCATGCAGCAAATTTCGTACCCCCCCCTTTCCCAATCCCCCCCCCTTACCCTGCCGAGGCCACCCTGCGCCTCCCCCCGCGCCCCCCTCTCCCGTCCGGCGGCCCGCCGCCCGAGGCCCGCCCCCTCCCCCCCTTCCCCCCCTCCCGAGGCCTCGGCCCTCCTCTGGCCATCGCTCGGACGTCCATTCCCAGTGGTTTTGCTCGGTTTCGTGCGTGGTTTCTTCGCCAAATCATCAAGGATGTTCCTCGATGGTCCTCGCCGAGGCCCGCCCCCTCCCCCCCTGACCTTCCAGAGCGCTAAAAACAGCCCTCCAGACCTATAGACCTACCTGGGCTGCCTAAAACCTCGACGGGGATTAGGATATCGAGGTCCTGGTGCTATCTTTAAGCCCTCCTGTCGGGGAGACGTAAGACTAGGGTACGGGGGACTCGGGTTGGCCCGACGGGGCCATCATAAAAATGACGAGGCACAATCTGAAATTTGACGCGAGCTCCCGCTGCAGACATCCCACGAAAACTGGACCGTCAACATCCAGGACGCGCTCGTCCAAAAAACGTCGGCAAACCCGAGTTCCGGCTTACTCGGGTCTTGCGTTTCCCCGATGTAGACCCATCTGGGCTGCCGAAAACCTCGACGGGGATCAAGATGTCGAGGCCCTGGTGCTATTTTGTTAAGCCCTCCTGGAAGGTCAGGGCCCCTTCCCCCCTCCTCCCCAGGCCTCGGCCTTCCTGACCGCCCCGCTCCCGCCCGAGACGCTTCGAGAGGAGGGAGGAGGGAGGGAGGGAGGGAGGGAGGGAGGGAGGAGGGAGGAGGGAGGACCGCGCTCGCCGGCGGCATCCCCCGAGGCCCCCCGTCCTCCGGCGCCGAGCTGGGCCGGCCGCCCCCAGCGGGCTGCCGCGGCGGCCGGCCGCAGAACCGCGCGGCGAAGCCCAGGAAGGCGTCGGCGTCGGACTGGGACGGCCGGACGACGAGCGCCTGGCCGGCGGCGGCGCCGCGAGCTCGCCGCCGCGGCCGCCGCCGAGAGCTCTCGTCGCGGGGGCCTCCGTGGGGGCGCTTCCCCAAGGCCCCCTGGTCGCCAGAGGCGGGGGCGCGGCGCGAGGAGCTGGCCGGCACGGGCCCAGGGAGGGGTCCAGGGATCCGTGCCCAGACCCCCTCGGGTCGTGAAAAAATCACGACGGGAAGTTTTTCGCCATTTTCGGCCCCTGGGGGCCCTTACGCCTCGGGACCGTCAAAAAACGACTCGGGATGAAAAACCGGTCCCGGGGAAGGGGTCCGGACCTCTAGGGGCCGCGTCATGAAAAAATCATGACGTCGGTGGTCTGGGTGTGTCGAGCGGACCTGGGCGTGTGTCGGCGCATCTTTCAGGGGAGCAGAGAGGGGGGAAGCCGAGCTAGGTGAGTTCTCGCGTCATATCCGACGTCCTGCCCCTCCCTCCCATCCCTTACTGTGGCGTAGACCTCCTCTCTGCTCGCAAAGCCAGATGTCGAGCAGGGCAATGAGTTGATCCCGAGCAGAGCACGGCATAGCAGGGCGCAAAAGAGCACGGCAGAGCGCGCGTTGCATCGCAGAGCACGGCATAGCAGGGCGTAAAAGAGCACGGCAGAGCGTAGTGTGTCATAGCATGGCGTGGCGTTTCGTAGTGAAGAAGTGCATCCCAAAGCATTGCAACGCAAAAAATGGCATCGCACGGCGGCACAGAACAGAACATGGCATAGCATGGCGTTGAAGATAAGAAACGTAGCATGGCATAGCATGGCGTGGCACAGCGTAGTCAAGCACTGCGTATCCTAGCATCGCAGCTTAAGGCATGGCATCGCACGGCGGAACACCACATGGCATGGCATTGCATGCCGCGGCACGGCACCGGAAAGAATGACGCCCGCGCTGCAGCAGGAGCACGACTCGGCACGAGCGGAAAGGAGGAGGAGGAGGAGGGAGGAGGAGGGAGGAGGAGGCGCGGAAACGAGGCCGGCGCTGCCGCGGGAGCACGTCTCGGCACGAGCGGAAGCGCGGCCCGCACAGCCCGCGCGCCCGCTCGCAGCGCCGGCACGAACTCGGGCCGACGCGCCGTGCCGGGGCCGTGCGCCTCCGGCGGCCGCGCCGAGCGGGAGCGGGAGCGGGCCCGGGGGGCGCGCGGGGAGCAGGCCTCGCGGCCTGCGGGCTCCGCGAGGTCCTCCGGAAGGCGGGGGGCCCCAGGACACACAAGTAGATACACACACAGGAAGAAAGATTCCCCATAGTTTCCCAGATGTTCTGGGCTTCTGTCTTCCCCCCCACGTCCCATAGTTTCCCATCTTTTCTGGGGACTCGAGGATTGATTGTGTCTGTGTGTTCCTTTTCCTCCTGACAGAAGGAGGGGGGGGCCCCGGCAGAGGGCCGCCCCCCCTCGCGCGAGCCGCTGCCGCGCGCCGCCGGCCGGGGTTCGCGGGGGGCTCGCACATCCGGGCGCCGTGGGAACACCACGGCGGGCATCTCCGCCCATCCTGGGGGCCCCTCTGGCTTGCTCGTTACGTCGCAGCGCCTTCGGCCCCAGACTTGCGCGCACGGCGCACCGACTAGTGGGCCAATCTGCCATGGGCGAGCCCGCACGTAATAGAACCTTGGCCTGGGGTACAAAGCGGCACCGATGGTGCCAACACACATTTGCCTCACACACCCGCGCTCCCAGCTCCTCCAGCTTCGGTCCTCGGGACCCGCGCGGATCCATCAGGACTCAGAAAACCCGACCCGCACGGAGATGGGGCCGAGAGCTCCATTCCACGACGTCGGATGCCTGTGCGCAGAGGCGGAGGCCGCGGAGGCCCCAAGAAGTTCGAAAGTGACTTCACGGAGCTCGAAAGATACGGCCGCAAACCTGGCCCGCCCATCAATTCCCCCACATGCGCCACCACAGGCGGCGTGGACGGTTCCTCCCTCTACCTCTCCCTCTCCCTCCCTCCCCCCACTCCTGGGGCTCGAATATCTACCAGTCCGCTCCACAGAACTGTGCACGGCGTCGATGCGAAAATGCCGTTTTTGAAACAGTGGGCGCGGCGCCGAGGCGAGAGTGTGATTCCAGATACTTGGGGTTCCCAGACCGCCACTGGAGAATCCCCCGCTCTCGGCAGGGGGCTAGCGACAAAAGCTGTCGCCGACCCCAACCCTGCCCAAGAGGTGCAAATCACTTACGATTACGCAATTGTGCTCAACGATCCGCCACCGTGCCTTGTGGACGTTGAGGCGTGGAAGAATGCCAAGATCTGCCTGGCAGGATTTTGAATTCTAATCAGGAAGCCCCAACATCCCGTGGACTGTCGCGTGCATCCCCCCTACTCACCGAGGCCACTTTCCTGGCGTGCCCGATCAAAGTGGGTGCATTTTTCCCGCATGGCAGCTAATACCAGAACCCCCCAACCACGCGTACCCGCTCGAGGAGGGTGCACTTCTCGCATGGTAATTAATGCCTGAACCCCCCTTCGACGCGTGCCAGCTCGAGGATGGTGCACTTCCCGCATGGCAGCCAATGCCTGAAACCCCCATCCACGCGTGCCCGCTGGAGGATGGTACACTTCCCGCAGGGTAGTCAATGCCTGAACCCTCATTCCATGCGCGCCCGTTCGATGATTGCGCACTTCCTGCTACCTCATAGAGCCTTCATCCAACGCGGACCAGCTCGAGGATTCTACACTTCCCGCATTCCCAGGCGCTGCCCCCAAGCGCTCCAGGGCCTCCCAGGCCACGATCCCCTGGTAAAAACGCTGGATATACGAACCGAACTTCCAAGACGGCCCGCGCAGGCAACCCAGGACACCAAGATGGCCCAGGACACCTCGAAAACGGCCCAAGATGGGCCCAAGGCGGCCGAATATTGCTTCAAGACGGCCTAGGATGTCTGCAAGAGAGCCCAGAAGGGCCATAAGAGGACCTCTACCATGGCCCACAAAGAAACCAAAATCATTGACTTCCCTTGGTCTTTGAGTTAGTTTCGCATTCTGGCCCTTTCGGGCTGCCGTCAGCTCAGGACTGCTCAAGAGGACTTGACGATAGCCCAAGACGCATCCAAGACGGCTCCAAGGCGGGCCCCCGTGGGATCCACGACGGCCGAAAATGGCGCCAAGACGGCCACACGACGACCCACAGGCACCCACCATAATATGGTTGAGAGGGCCCCAAGACGGCCCAAGAGAACCCCAGGCAGGCGCAAGATGGCCCCATGAAGGCCCAAGAGGGTCCCTAAGGGACCCCCTTGGGCTGCCTCACGGGAAGCAAAGCCAGCCCCAATACGGCCCAGCGGAAGAACAACAACAACAACAACAACAACAACAACAACAACAACAACAACAACAACAACAACAACAACAACAACAACCACAACAACAACAACAACAACAACAACAACAACAACAACAACAACAACAACAACTAGCACGTGGGGACACTCCGTTCTCACCAGTGCCAGGGTTTTCATAGGAGGCGGGCAATACCCCCTCTTTGTGGGGGGGCCGGTTCAAGCTCTACCAAATTTCCAAACGACTCTTCGCCACCACCCACACCCAGCTTCCCGCCCTATGACGTTCGGACACTTCACTTCGTGGCATGCGGACGACCGTGGCTACTATTCAGGGCCCCGCGGCCGACGACGACGGCGTGCGCGCGCGAAGAAAAAACGAATGTGTCCCGCATGGTATTATTTGACAGGGATGATGGCCCTGGCAGGTGCGCAACCGTTGTCGCAGAAGTTCGAAAAAGTTGCTCGCAAAAGCCCGTTTGACAGAAATGTTTAAAAAGTGTTGGTTTTCCTACGAATCCGCAAGAGCGCGCGGGATGAGATTTTGACATTTTTTTGTTGAGAAACCATTGTTTTTTTTGATGTTTTTATGTTAAAATCGCTCCGAACACTAAGCTTTTGGAAGGATTTCGTCTTGCGCGCGCGAATGTCCACTTTACCTTATTTTTTGCAAGGGATTCTTGAAATTTGATTATATTAGAACAAGAAATGTCATTTTATAGTGTTTTTTGCAAGGGGAAGCGGGGGGGAACAAAACAACCGGATCTTGATCACATCGAATTACCTGAGGCTTCCTCACGAAAATGATGAAAATGTAGCTGCGGCCTAGGCGGCGCAGGGGGGCCGTACACCAGGGGCCCCAACAATAATTATTCTTTAGAATTAATAATGTTCAACAACAACAACAACAACAACAACAACCACAACCACAACCACAACCACAACCACAACCACAACCACAACCACAACCACAACCACAACCACAACCACAACCACAACAGGGCAGAACAACCAGCTGGTGTAACCAGACCAGGTACACCAGTTCGCTCTTTCGCTCCATGCAGCGAAACAATATATTAATGTACCCTGCGGGGGGCCCCCCTCCCCTCCCCCCCCCCCCCGTGCAAAGCAACGCCACGCAACGCAACGCAACGCTACGCGCCATACGGCCAGCCTAGAAAAAAACACGGGAAACCGTTGGGAATATTGTTCGGGATCCTTGAGGCAGCCCACGTACCCCCACGAGCGCATACTATGCGCGCCAAACAGAGCCGACCTCAGAGCTGCAGACTCCGTACGGGGAATCAATCCTGTCGGCTCCCTGGGCAGTCCTGAAGAATCCTTGGGGGATGCTACAGAATCCTCAGGGGATGCCATAACAGCCCCAGGGGATGCTATAGAATCCTGAAGGGGTGCCCTACGAATTCTCTACGGGATCATAACCCCTAGGGGGTCCTATAGGGCAGTCGGAACCGTAGCAGTAGTAGTAGTAGTAGTAGTAGTAGTAGTAGCAGTAGCAGTAGCAGTAGCAGTAGTAGTAGTAGTAGTAGTAGTAGTAGTAGTAGTCGTAGTAGTAGTAGTAGTAGTAGTAGTAGTAGTAGAAGTAGTAGTAGCAGTAGCAGTAGCAGTAGCAGTAGCAGTAGTAGTAGTAGTAGTAGTAGTAGTAGTAGTAGTAGTAGTAGTAGTCGCCGTCGTAGTCGTAGTCGTAGT